CCTGCAGGGCACGCAGGTTCAGAGCACCGACGTCCCAGAGCACCCACGCTGGTGCCCAGCCTTCGCCTGGACCCCACAGCACAGCCCGCGGCCCGGCAACAACCCCGGATCCTCCGGCCACACCAGCAGGGCGCCCGACCCACACTGACACTATCAGGAGTGCATGTTTCTGGACCGTGCAGAGTGCGGCGGCAATTTCAGGACAGCACCCAGGTGTCTGTGGGTTCTGACGGAGAGAAGAGTACACTCCAAGACAAGGCAGGGTGTGGGGGCAGCAGGAGGCAGAGCACAGCTCCTGAGAGGAACACTTCTACACTAGCAGGAAGATCACCTTGAAATTCTTTTTTCTTTTCTTTTCTTTTTCTTTTTTGTACGTGTCTCTAGCAGGAACTGAACCTGGGAGCTCTGGTCTGCAGGCCGGCGCTCCAACCGCTAAGCCCAATCGGCCAGGGCTGAAATTCTTTTTTTGTTGTTAATACTCACATAAGGATATTTTTTCCTTTGAATTTTAGAGAGTGTGAAAGGCAGGGAGAAAGAGAGAGAGAGAAAAAGAGAAATGTCTGTGTAAGAGAGACACATAGATTGACTGGTTGCCTCCCACAGGTGCCCCAACCAGGGTCAGGGATTGAACCTGCAACCCAGGTAATGCCCTTGACTAGGAATCAAACCCATGATCCTTTGGTGTGTGGGCTGATACCCCAACCACTGTGCCACACCAGTCAGAGCTACCTTGAAATTCTTTAATACACAGTTTTCGGTGCCCACTGTGTGCTATTTTCAAACAAGTGTCTCAGTTCCTGAGGTCCAGGGGACAAGGACTCAGGAGTCCTTCTGTGTAAGCCCAGCACACGGGAAACATCCCCTGCTGCTACCCGGCCTCTGCACCACCCAGTCAGCTGGGATCTCTAGACTGTAGGAAGTATTTGCAAACCAGTCCTGGGGCCACGGAAACACAGCTGAGCTGAGCAGAAAGACACAGTCAGGAGAGCTCTGGGCTCTGGGAGGCTCACCACAGACAGCGGAGTGGGAGGAGGAGGAGGAGGAGGAGGAATGAGGCCAAACAGCAGGGGGCCTTTCTGTTACAAAGACTGCTACTGTGTGTGTGTGTTTTAAATTTTGAAAAAATAACAATTTTCCAAGGAAAGATTGGCCAAAAAAGGTAATTTACAGACTCTATAAACATCCCAGGGGAAAAAGCCAAGAGGATGACTAATACCCGTGAATACTCTACTAAGGGTTATTGAAAGATTTAACTATTAAAACTGCAGTTATAAAACACAGTTCAGCATCAGAGATAAGAACGAGGGAAAGTTAAACTCAGAGCATGGCCTAGAGTGAGAAAAGCAACCGCTCAGAGAGGTGGGCAAGTTCTCACGGACACCCTGCTCTTGACAGTCCGCAACAGCCAGCAGGTCGTGCCAGACAGTTGGGGCGCCTCAGTCTGGCCCTGTGCCATGCTCCCCTCCACCCCGTCCACTGTGCGCCTCCTGGGACAGGCCCTTCCTGCACCCTGCACATGGCACATCTCTCCAGTTCTTCAGAGCCATTTCAAATGCCCTCGGTCTTACCAGCTACACAGCACTTCACTTAGGCACATGTTATGACAGACTGCACCAGCTACCTGGCATTATATTTGCATTTATCTGCACATATAATCGTAACAGAAGTCAGTGATTCGAGCTCACACTTCCTGTGCTTCCCTGTGTGCCATGCACTATAAATACCAGCTAAGGGTTTTATGTTTTTCTTTTTTAAATTAAACTTCATTACAACTTATGTGGTTGATATTTCTACTGTGCCCATTTTAAAGGTGTAGACATTGAGACCCTGAGAAAGATGATTCAATGACTTGGCCAAGAGGTTCCGGAGTTAGAAACTGACAGACCTAGATTCTACTAGTGTAACAGCTCCCTGCTGTTAGAAAATGCAAATCAAAAACCATGAGATACCACTATTCACTTATTAAAATGGCCAAAGCAAACAAAATAACTAAGAATACCAAGTGCTGTCAAGAACATGGAGTAACTGGAATGCTCAGACACTCTGGTGGGAGTGTAAACTGGTGCAGCCATTTTGGAAAACAGTTTGGCAACTCTTTATTAAATAAACAAATACCAGATGCCCCAGCAACCCCACTCCCAGGTGTCTATACCCATGAGAAATAAAAATATGTCCACATATAAAACACTCGTACACAAATATTTAGAGTAGCTGTATCCATACTTGCCCAGACTTAGAAACAACCCAGATGTCTGTCAGCTGGTCTATGGATAAACACCCTGTGGTACATTCAGCCAACAGAGTGCAGGTGCACCTCGCTTTACTGTGCCTTGCAGTAAAGGCCGTGTTCTCTACAGGCTCAGATAATGGTAAGCATTTTTTTTTCTTAATATTTTTCTTGAATTTAGAGAAAGAGGAGGAGAGAGAGAGAGAAACATTGATGTGAGAACATAATGTCGACCGGCTGCCTCCTGCAGGCCTCCTACCAGGGATCCAGCCAGCAGCTTGGGCATGTGCCCTGACCCAAATTAAACCAGCAACCTTTTGGTGCACAGGATGATGCCCAGCCAACTGAGCCACACTGGCCAGGGTAGTGGTAAGAATTTTAAAATTAAAGTATGTACATTGTTTTTTTAGACATAAAAAACACTTAATAGACTACAGTATGGTGTAAACATAAGTTTTATATGCACTGAGAATCCAAAACATTCATGTGACTCGCTTTATCGTGATATGCACTTTATTGCAGTGGTCTGGAGCCGAGCCCGCAGAACCCCGAGGTGTGCCTCTACTGTTTAGAACAAAAAGAACAAACTTCTAACACGTGCGTCTGCGTGGATGGATCTCAGAAGCATATGCTGAGGGAAAGCCACACTCGCAAGGCTACATACCGCATCCAGTGTGGAAGACATTCTGGAAAAGACCAACAGAGGAGGGATTGCCTGGGGTGGGGCTGGGGCATTGAGGACAAAGACAAAGTGGCCGAGGTAACTGTTTAGCTTGATGGACGCATTCTCTATCTTGACTGTGCTGATAGTTACGTGACTGTATACATTTGTCAAAACTCAAGAACTGTAAACTAAATATACCTCAACAAATTTAACATTAAAAAAAAGTTCTCTGACCCTGCTGGTGTGGCTCAGCGGTTGAGCATCTACCCATGCACCAAGAGGTCACCGGTTCGATTCCTGGTCAGGGCACATGCCCAGGCTGTGGGCCCGATCCCCAGTGGGGGGCAGGCAGGAGGCGCCAATCAATGTTCTCTCTCATCTATGTTTCTATCTCTCTCTCTCCCTTTCTTTCTCTGAAATCAATAAAGGAACAAAAAACTTCTCCGAAGATAGACTCATGGGTCAGTAAGACCACTTAGAAGTGTTCTACATTACTTCTGACCAAATCTATCCTTTGCGTGAACTAGTAAATAGAAGAGTAAGCTAATCTGAACTTTATTACTCTTCCATTTCCCTGCTGATCTCTAGCAGAGGTGTTAATGAGGAAAGACAACCGGAACGATGACCAAGCAGGAGAGCAGAGATGGTCTACACGTGCCGAGTGACCGCATTCCCAGACGGGCAGAAGCCGTACCCACCTCAGGGTGCCTCTTGATCTTCTTCACAGACTTCAGTTTCACTAGAAGCTGCTGCTGCCTCCTCCTCCTCCTCATCTGATGGAAAACACTCCTATGTGCTTAAAAATAATTAATAAATGTCAGAACTTTAAGTGCTCAGTAAAAGGTCTGAGCCAGGGGGAGATCACATCCATAATGCAAGGCCAGTGTAGAGCCAAATAGCTTTATTGCATACGCCTGGGTGCAGGCGGGCTGACTCCTTAAAAAAGAGCCCAGAGTCGCAATCTCTTTATTCTCTTGCTTTTATAGGCCCAAACTACAGAAACAAAAAACTACATTAAAAAAAACAAACAGCCCTGGCCAGTTTGGCTCAGCGGTTAGAGCGTCCGCCTGTGATCCGGAGAGACCCGGGTTCGGTTCCCGCTAAGGGCATGTACCTCGGTTGCAGTTTGTCCCCGGCCCTGGTTGGTCGTGCGGGTGGCAGCCACTCGATGTGTCCCTTCACATCGATGTTTCCCTCTCTCTCTCTTCCTCTCTCTCCCTCCCACTCTGTCTGTACAAAAAATGGAAAAAATGTCCTCGGGTGAGGATAAAAAAAAAAAAATAAATAAAAAACCCACATTCTCTTGGCACCGCTTAATTGGTGCTGGGGCTGATACGAACTGTTACAGAGGCGAGGGAAGAACCTGTTGCAGGTATGAGATGAGCCTGTTACAGAGGTCAGGGCAGTCATTAATCTCTTCTTTATGGTCCCTCCACGTTTCCCAAGGCCACCATTGACCCCTTATCTTCATGGTTCCTCTGAGTGTCAGTCTCAGGGTTTTAGAAAACTGCTCGGTGTTTACATGCAGGAATAACTGGTCAGAATGAAGTTTAATTTTGTTAAAACATTACTAACCCTTTCGCTCAGGACAGTGAGTATAACAACAAAATATTTTTATTTTCATCTGAAAGCAAGGTATTTTGCTACAGTACAACAAAGCCTTCTCAGCCCCAGTGCCCGCCCCCGACAGCCGCATAGCTGTTGCTGAGATACAAAGAAAGAACGGGAGTTAAGAAAGCATGTGTGACTTCAGGTGGCCCACCTGCATCCCAGACCCCAAACTCCTTCCTGTCCTAAGAAGAGGGGACGGCACTGCCGGGCAGCAGCGGTGTCCTCAGCGGTGAAACGGGGCAGGGCAGGTCTGAGGAGCAAAGCGGGGGTTTCAACACCGCCGGGCTCTGAGCTGCATGGGCAAGAACCACATCTGTCTGGCTCTCCAGTCCCACTGCCTGGTCCAGGGCCTGGTCAGTGAGCATACTGAAAGGTGCTTGACATTTCTGGAGGGCGGTTTGGCACATGCAACACAATTCAGTGCAGGCTCCTCACACAGTACAGTCTCATGTGGGCACCAAGAAAATAAGCACTCAGATAAAATTATCAAGATTTTAATATTGAATAATATACTTTACAAATGTGAATTAATTACGTATTAGAATCTCACTGTCTTCTCTGATGCCTCTTGTTTCTTGAGCTCCAAGGAAAAGAAGGAAGGTCGTAAGAGCTGTACCTCTTCTGGATGCTGAAGGGTTCGGGTCAGCGCCTTCTGCATAGGGGTGCCACCACTGAGGACGAGCTCGCAAGTCCTACGAAAGAAGGGTGTGCTGTGACCGAGACCTGTGATGGACGTTCTCAAACACTGGAGTCGTGAATCAACTACTTTTAGCACAGATACATTTGCAGAAGTTTATGTTTCATTAATAAATGAGAATAAAAGTTGGTCTTTCTGTGTGGTATCAACTCAATAAATAAGTCTTTCTTAACTATGAACCATAGAAGTACATTTTCCACATTAATGTGAGAAAGATGATTGATGTCATTAAGGTATTATTATTAATTTTTTTTTTATCCTCACCCGAGGATATTTTTCTTCTTATTTATTTATTTATTTATTTTGTTCAGATAGAGTGGGAGGGTCCGGCTGGTATGGTTCAGTGGTTGAACATCGACCCATGCACAAGAGGTCACCAGTTTGATTCCTGGTCAGGGCACATGCCCAGGTTGTGGGCCAGATCCCCAGTGGGGGGCATGCAGGAGGTGGCCAGTCGAGTTTTTCTCTCATTGATGTTTCTATCTCTCCCTCTCACTTTCTTTCTCTAAAAATCAATAAATGGGAAAAAAAAGATAGAGTGGGAGGGAAAGAGAGAGAAAAACATTGACATGAAAAGGATACATTGAGTGGCTGCCTCCCGCAAGACCCCAACCAGGGCCGGGGACAAATCGCTATCAAGGAACATGCCCCTGGTTAGAATCAAACCCTTGCCTCATTGGTCTGCAGGCCAACGCTCTAACCGCTGAGCCAAACTGGCCACGGCGTCATTAAGGTATTTTGTCATTAAAATCATTTGAAATAAAGCCAGTATAAGTTTATATTATTTTCCAAACACAAAAAAGTAACATGTAGATTGCAGCAAAAAGTTTGACTGGCCTAGACATAATAAGGAAAAAAATGAAAGCTACCTCCCCTCCCCTCTAGTTTGGTAGCCCCTTGCCCTATCTTTCTCTATGCAAATGCAAACTAATACGTTCAACAGTAGATCTCAAACTGAACACGTTTCTCTCAGAGTTGCAAACTGCCGAAGCGTAGAAAGCAGAAGGTGACAGGCCCCTTGACTCCACTGCACCAGCTCCTCCTCCTGCTCCTCAGGGCAGCCCCTGGGGACAGTTCACATAAACACGCCCACTTCGGCAGTTTCTCTGAACCAAAATTGGAGTCACAGTACACATACTATCCTGCTACTTGCTTTTTTCATATAATAATATACGTTGGAAAAAAAAATTTTTTTTAATCCTCACCCGAGGACATTTTTTTGCATTTATCTTGAGATAGAGCAGGAGGGAGAGAAGGAGGAAGAGAGAGAGAGAGAGAGAAACATCGATGTGAGAGAGACACATTGTGTGGTTGCCACCCACACAACCTCAACCAGGGCTGGGGACAAACTGCAGCTGAGGTACGTGCCCTTAGTGGGAACTGAACCCGGGTCTTTCTGGTTCGAGGGTCGACGCCATAGTCACTGAACCAAACTGGCCAGGGCAGAAAAATTTCTTTATCAATGCACAGTCTTCCACCTCATTTAAAAGAATAGCTGTGACTGCCCTGGCTGGTTGGCTAAGTTGGTTGGAGCATCATCCCATACACCAAAAGGTTTGGGGTTCGATTTCCAGTTAGGGAGCATATGGTAGGCTACTGATTAATGTTTCTCTCTCTCTCTCCTTCCCTTTCTCTTTCTCAAATCTTTTTTTTAAATCTGAACCAGAAGATATTTTTCTATTTATCTTCAGATGAAATGTGAGGAAGAGAGAGAGAGAGATAAAAAGAAACATTGACGTGAGAGAGACACATCAACAGGCTGTCTCCCACATGACCCTGACCAGGGCTGGGGATGAACCACATCTGAAGTATATGCCCTTGGTCGGACTCAAACCCGTGACTCAGCCGGGGCGCAAATACATTTTTTTAAAAAGCATCTGTAACTTCACTTCGAGAAAGCTTGAGTAGACACACCTCTCCCTCACTCTAAGCACAACTAAAATCCTGAACATTATTAAAACCCCAAACCCATAAATCATAAAAAGCTTGGGCTTCTACATCTATGGGGGATGGAGAGAATGGGAGTAATAAAGTGCCCCACCCCCTTCTTCCTGGGGACATCAGAGGGTCAGAGGGTTGGTGCAGTCAGGACTTTCACCTCTGTCCTGAGGTAAGGAGGTCCCTTCCACCCTGTGCTGTCAGCAGCTGCAGGGTGGAGGGGGGATTCCCTGAATCAAACCTTTGGGGTTAGAAACTATGATAATCCCCCATTCTGAAACTGGAGGAAACTGCAGCTTGGAGACTTAGTTATGCTGACATGGGAGACCAGAGCCTGAATTTTATCTAAATCTGGGATCTTCATCCTCCCCCTTCTGACTGCCCCCCTGTATCCCTCTGTGAATTTCCTGTTTATAACCTAGACTTAGATTCCTGTGTGTGCCCATTTTAAAGTTAGATTTCTATGTGTGTGCCCATTTTAAAGTTAGATTGTCTTTTCAATTTTTGAGGGTTCTTCTTATATCAGGGATAGGAATCTGTTATGTATACATTATGAATTCTTGCTACCGGTCTTCAGTTTTAAATTTGCTTACAGTGGCTGCCACGACAATGCCAGTGTACCTGCTCCAGAAGAGAGGCGGAGTCACAGAGGACCTGGGGGCCCCGGACTTGGCCTCTCCTCTCTTTGGCAGGACCTGGGCTGCTAATCCCATAGGAAATTACTGGAGAACATTCTCAGCTGATAGTGGTGCAAACATCTTTTAAAATCCCTTTTCTGTGTCACGGCCCCTCCCAAGGATGAGACCACTTGCTGTTTCCACACACGACCTAAAGGAAATAAAACCCACAGTAAAAGCCCCTCCCCGCAAGTTATTGAAATGCTAACAGAACATGTGCTGCACACTGAGGTATCTAGATTCTGAATAATCAATTTTTATGAAATTACCCATTTGAAAGGAATATATAGCCAACTTACTTTGCTGGAATAGGAACTCCACTGACATCAAAAAGTTTCAGAAACACCCAGCCGCAGCTCAATTCTCCTCGTTCACCCGCTGACTAGGAAATAAAAACCTAGATAAACAGTGTCTGAAGCAGTCAGATGTATAAGCACGTACCTGGTCCTCTTAAAGCAACATTAGTCTTCACTTTGGACTGAAATCTTCCCGAGAAGACACAGCGAAGCCCAGCGGAGCCCCTGCACTCAGAGCTGTGGAGATGCGCAGACCCACGGGGTTCAGCTGCTCGTGGAAGCCCCGAGACCTGCAGGTGACGTGGCAGCTGCTCCAGGCTCCTGGGTGACACGGGATGGGGTGGGCTCCAGGCACTTCGACAGCCCATGAGATCAGGAAGCCCTGTCTCCCTGACAGATAGATGAGCAATTATATCTTTCAAGGGTCTTTCCTGCTCAGAACTTTGCTCAACGGAAACTGTCAGAGGCCAGTGGGGCCCATCGGGGGCCCTGCCCCTCTCCTGACCCACACAACACAGACGGATCATCTGCCTCAGGGAATGAAAGGATGGTGCAGTCGCATCCATGTAAGGACAGCGGGCTCTCTGGGTTACCATGACACCAGTACACACACTGCACCTTTCACCTATTAGACTATGGACACGTGTAATTACCACAGACCCACCCCACTGGTTCAATAGTTTATAGGATGTTACGTTAATCCAAGTTGCTGGTGTTCCCTTTAAAAACTCATCACTCTGCCAGCTCCCGGAATCACAACCCTCATTCACGAGGTTAAGTGCCCTCTGACTGCAGGACGGAGGGAAGCCGCGGGTATAAATTGTGCATCACCTGGCCCATAACCTCAGAACTGGAGCATGGCTTTGTTGCCTGTTTACTTTCAGAATATATGTAGCTGACACCTGATTTGAGCTTTTCCTTTTTTAAATTCATTTTTATTGATTTTTATAGAGAGAGAAAGGGAGAGAGAGAGAGAGAGATAGAAACATCGATGACAGAGAAACATCGATTGGCTGCCTCCTGTACACCTCCCACAACCCCTTCCCGGGGATCGAGCCCACACCGGGACATGTGCCCTGACTGGGAACTGAACCACTGACCTCTCGGTGCATGGGTCGACGCCCAACCAACTGAGCCACACTGGCCTGGCTGTTTTTTTTTTAAAAAGGTGGGGATTTTTTTGTTTGTTTGTTGTCACAAATCTCTAGCCAACAGCAGCTTTTCTGGTGTTGCTCAGATATGTGCTGTATTCCCCTCCCCCCCCTTCACCCCTGGCAGTCACGGATCCGTTCTACCTGGGAGGTTGTTTTGTTGTTTAGATTCCACATCTAAGCAACATCATGAGGTATTTGTCTTTCTCTGACACTTCACTTAACATCATGCCCTCGAAGACCATTTATGTTGTTGCAAATGTCAAGGTTTCATGCCTTTTTATGACTGAATAATATTCCGTAGTATATATGTCCGCATAGTCTTTATCTACTTGTCTATTGATAAACACTTAGCTTGCTTCCATGTCTTCACTGTTGTAAATAATGCTGCAATAAACACATACATCTTTTCAAATTAGTGATTTGGATTTTGTCAAACACCGGAAGTGAAACTGCTGGGTCATAGGCTGGTGTTATTTTTAGTTTTCTGAGAAATGTTTATGTTGTTTCCACGTGGATGCAGCAATTTACGTTCCCACCAACAGTGCACAAGACTATCCCCTCTCCACATCCTCGTCAACGCTTGTTTCTTCTCGTCTTGTTGGTAACAGCCATCCTGACAGTGGGGGTGATATTTTGAGGTTCTGATTTGCGTTTCCCCAGAGATTAGTGATGTTGAGTATCTTCTACTTTAATTTTAACTACTACTGAATAAGCAGCACTATATATAAAATTAAAATCACTGCCATTTTCTCCAGGATTAAAATTCTGTTACACACAAAAATATCCATTATTTTACTTGTCAATACAGGCTTTAAAAAAATCTTCCCTTTTAACTGATACATTAGAAAACTTTATCTTTCAACTGACACATACTGCGAATAGAAGAAATTCCAAGTTCAAATTGTATTCCAGGACCTGGAGACGAGGAACTGGACCTGATGAAACCACCACCATCGAGCCGGCAGGGCGCGGTGCCAGTGACCGGGAACAACAAGGAAGCTACAGTTACCAGCAGACACTGAAACTGGGAGGGAGGGTCAGCTCCGTCCCCCTGGGAATGGGCTATGCCCTCGCATCGCAGGAAAGGTATTTCACAGGGAACAAAAAGCAGATGGACTGGACTCGTCCACACCGATGATTTGAAATGTAAAACTTTAACTTTGTGTTAAAGGGAAATACCTCTACCTTCACTTACCCTTTCCTTAGAGAGGCTAAGTAAAACAAGTACAATACCTAGGTCCCCAGAGGTGTCACAAAAATCATTTGCACATATATATTATACTAATCGTCATTCTTTGTAAACAGAACTAAAATGAAAGACTTCATACACACATCGGTCAACTTTCCTGAGGTGAGCCTTGTGAATTTCCTTTCCTCCCCTTTTGCTCATTCCCTCCCCTCTCCCAGGACAACCGCATCCCTCTTTCCTGCCTATAAGATCCCACCCATCCTTCAAAGTCCACTTTCTCTTGTACCAACCTCCCCGAGCCTGTATGAATGTCCCCTCCTCTGTGCTTCCACAGCACCTGGGTCCCACAACTGCTCCGCTCTGCCACCGGGGCAGCATCAACAGGACCCACCCCGCAGGGGGCTCTAAGGTCACAGGAGACAAAGCACATGGCTAGGGCTCCGTCAGTACAGCATCGTCATTACCTGTGCATAGGTGTCTTCCCTGGTACCATGCACGTCCCCTCAGCACCTGGGAGGAATGCCTACACCTAACAGATGCTGAATTCCATTCAACAGGGTAACACATACTTATTATTTATCCTCCAAACAGCTCTTCATCTCTGGAAGGCTCTGCCCTCAACACTTCACTCACACAGACGCCCTGTCGGGACTGGGCCGGGTGGTGCCACAGTGCAAGCAGCAGGTGCCCAGAGGCTCCCACGGACTCGCAGGATTGTCCTCTGACACGTGTGGACACACACAGCACACAAGCGTGGGGGCTGTGCCTCTGCCACGTCCCGTGCCCTCTCGCTGACCCTCTGTCCTGCCTGACGATCTTCTGATGCCACAAGAACAAGTTAACGAAGGTTCTCAGGCGTCAGTGACTCACGGAAACTAGTGTGGCAGGAAGTAAGGACTAAAGCCATGAACACTTGCAGGAAGAAAAAATAAAGTGAAAGAAACTACAGACAACTAATCTTATCAAAAGGACACAGACTTCTCCTCCCCTCGGCCCGAGGCAGCACTGGCTCAGGTTTGAGACCGCACGGCCGCACCCCAGTCCTCTCCTCCGGTCTCGACGTCCCTGGGCGCACAGCACCGGTCCCCTGGGCGTCGCCCTTGATTCCGGCTGAAGAAAGCACGGCTCTCACTGACGCACTGGGGGCTCTCATTTTTGAAAAACACTTCCTAAACGTAATCTTTTTGTTTTCATTTCTCATCACAGGGCAACTGAATCTTGAAAGCCATTGAATGAGATGACTCACAGGAATGATAGCTTTGTTGAGTCAGAAACAGTCATTTTTATCAAAGTCCTAAAGAACATTAAATAATCTAGAGATTCAAATCTGACCCCATATTTTCTGTGCTAGACATAACCACGTCATTTCAGAAATACACTTTACAGCCTCGCCTTAGAAAGTAACTGTTCATCACTTGGCAGGTAGAAGAAGCTCATGTGGACTTCCGGTTAGGACAGCGGGTAGGTAAACGTGGTGTCGCCTCCTCCCACAACCATCAAAATTACAACTAAACCACAGAAAAACCATCATTCAGAATTGCCTGAAATTGAGCTGAATGGAAGTCCTACAACTATGAAATTAAAGAAGCAGCCACATCAAGACGGGTAGAAGGGGTGGAGGCAGACAAGCTGGTCCCACACCCACATGTGGCAGATAAAAATCAAGAGGACACCTCATCTGGGAAGGTCCTCCCTGAGGACTGAGGTGCCCAGCTCAAGGTTCCAGAGCCAGGAAGAGAAGTCCCATAACTTCTGGCTGGAAAAACCAGTGGGAACTGAGGTTGTGGGAGCCCTAGGCAGCTCCTCTTAAAGGGCCCGTGCACATACTTACTTGGACTTGTTCCCTCTAAGCGCGGATGGGAGGCAGCTTGAAAGGCACCAGAGACACACAGGGAAGGACTGAGCTGTTTGGCCTTGGGACGAGGGCTGGAGAGGCAGCTTACTCTCAGATAGACATGCTGGCAGAGGCCTCTGTTCCTTTGGTGAGCCCTTCCCTGGGGTAGCAGATGGCCCCCATATCTGGGACTCCAGAAACCTGGCTCATACTGTTTGCCCCACCCTGGTGATGCCCTGAGGCCCTGCTCCATCCCCCCTTTCGGGCCCACCCAAGCTGTTTCCAAAGGCTTTACCATAGGATTGGCCTGTCTTGGATTCTGCTTCAGAGTTTCCTAAAATCTCTCAAACAAGCAGCATCTGGTTGCAGTGAGCCCCATACCTCTCACTGTGTGGCCTCAGTCCTGGCACTAGAAGTAGGCAGCCTTGGTTCACAACTTGGGTTCCTGGGCACTTCCAAGCCCAGCATAAAAAGCAGCCATTGGCAGATCACTTTATAGCTTATGCTGGTGGCCCTGGGTAGAACACAGGTGGAGGCTGACCTTGCCCCAGAGCCAGCACACCAGTGGACAGCTTCAGACCACATCAAAGCACCAGCACCCAATCACCTCCACAACTGATACTCTCAATGAGTGGACTCAGTGGGTACCATAGCCCTCCTGAAGTAAGTCTTGCTCTGTGTTGGGTCCCTACACCAGTGATCCTCCAAGATAGTCAGAGGCCAGTGGTCAGTGGGCATAGCCAATCTTTGCAGCTGATCACCCTGAGTAAATCCCTCCTGTTGACATGCTAACAGCAATCAAGACTCAATTACAACAGAAGGGTGTAGTCTACACTAGGGGTGCACCTTGAGGGCCCAGATGGGCTGATAAGGGAGGCTGTGCCACTGGATCCTACAGGACACCTACAACAATAGGCCATTCTATGAAGCCCTGGAGACATAGCAACTCTACCTAATATATAGAAATAATCACAGGATAGCAGCCAAAATTAGGAGACAAAGAAACATCCCAAATAAAAGAAAAGAACAAAACTCCAGTAAAAGAACTAAACAAAATGGAGATAAGGGATCAATCAGATGTGGAGTTCAAAACACTGGTTATAAGGTTGCTCAAGAAACTTAGTGACACATTCAGGTAACTTAGCAAGACCTTCAAGGAACTTAAGGAGATCTCCAAGAAACTTAGTGAGAACATCAACAACATAAAATAGGACCAATCAGAAATTAAGGATGCACTAACTGAAATAAAGAATAATTTACAGGGAATCAATAGTAGAGTAGGTAAAGCCAAGAAGCAAACCATCGATGAGGAGTATAAGAAAGCAAAAAACACCCAATCAGAACAGCAAAAAAAAAAAGAATCTCCCCCCAAAATGAGGATAATGTAAGGAGCCTCTGGGACAACTTTAAGCATGCCAACAATCGCAACATAGGAGTGCCAGAAGGAGAAGAGAGAGCCAGAAATTGAAAACCTATTTGAAATAATAATGAAAGAAAACTTCCCTAACTTGGTGAAGAAAACAGACATACAAGTTCAGGAAGCACAGAGAGTCCCAAACAAGTTGAGCCCAAAGAGATCCACACCAAAACACAACATCATCAAAATGCCAAAGGTTAAAGACAAAGAGAGAATCTTAAAAGCAGCAAAAGAAAAGCAGTTTGTTACCTACAAAGAAGCTTCCGTAAGACTGTCAGCTGATTTCTCAAAAGAAACTTTGCAGGCCAGAAAGGAGTGGCAAGAGATATTCAAGGTGATGAAAAGCAATGGCCTACAACCAAGATTACTCTATCCTGCAAAACTATCATTTAGAATCAATAGACATATCAAGAATTTCCCAGACAGAAAAGCTAAAGAAGTTCATAACCAAAGCAATGTTATATGAAATGCTGAAGGGTCTTCTTGAAGGAGAAGAAGAACAAAAATATGAACAATAAGATGGCAATTAATACATATCTATCAACAATTGAATCTACAAACAAAATAAGCAAGCAAAACAGAAACAGATTCATAGATACAAAGAACTTTTTGTTGCTTGCCAAATGGATGAGGGCTGGAGGGATGGGTGAAAAAGATGAAGGAATTAAGAAGTACAAATTGGTTGTTACACTGATGAACCTCAAAGGGAAGCAGGGAGGGGGGACAGGATAAGATATTCCAAAGAACTTGTATGCATAACCAATGGACACTGACAATAGTGTGGGGAAGGCAGGAGGAGGTTGGATTGGGGAGGAGGGGTCAATGGGGAAAAAAGGATGGACATTTGTAATACATTCAACAATAAAGATGAGAAAGACAAAAAGCTCATGTTTTACTCAGCAGATGACCACCTGGGGAGAAAGGCCCATGTCTGAGCTTTAGGTTGCCCTGTGGCTCTGACTACAGGAATGTTGCTCAGAACCTGAAACAAGATTTTCCCATTTAAAATCATGAAGCAAGTTCTCTGAAACATCACCACTCCCAACCCCAGTGGTTAGCAGTGGCTGCTCTGTGTGGAGCAGGCAGAAGGGTCTTTCACTTCTTACTTTGTGCAATTCTGTCATTTTATTTCTCTTAACATCAAGAACATATATAACTTTTTAAATGAGTAACAAAAAGCAAATGTTAAAGCACTTATTTATAAACCAGAGAAGGAACTAATTAATAAAATTAATTCAGACTCAGATCTTTGCATTAGTAATAAATTATATGAAGTAAAATATTTAATACCTGAGATAGAAAAGTAAGTTTCAGGCACAAATGACCTTTCAAGAAACACGACCCCTAAGAGCATTTCATGTGGAGTCCATCACCCCGCCCCTGAGACAGACAAGGCTAACAGCTCAGATACACGTTTCCTTCAAGATCTTAAGGCCCATAAACTATATTCTTCCTGTCATTTATCTCATAAACTGCAGAAGTTAGTTCCACGATATACATAAAACAATAAAACACAAAAGGAGCCAAAACTCTAAAGAATTCAAGAATACGTAACAATTTTTATTATCAATAAAAATATTTAGTATAGACTAAGCTTTAAAAGTAATTAGAAGTTACCCCAAACATGTCATCCAAGGTCAAGTTGAATTCACTGCTCTCCAAGCCCCTACCGGGAGGCAGTTAGCAGTATCTTATGGGCAGATGAGTGGTTTTCCACATGAAAGTCCCCATTTCCTTCAACACCTGATATACATCAATTTATTTAAACTCTCCCTAAAATGATATATATTCTCAACCTGGACTCCTGGAGTACAAACTCCTTCTGATTATTACCTGGTGTTTAAGGTGAGACTGCATTTTATTTATTCTCAGTTTGCAAAGGACTGGAGAGTTTGGAGCTAAAAAGTAAAAAAATAAATAAAATAAAATAAATAATAATAATAATAATAATCCCCAAATCTGACAAAGAAATAAGCTCAGATTGAAGAAGTTGTACAAACCCCAAACAGGATAAACTCAAGAAATCCATGCTGTGATGCAACAAACTTCTGAAAACTAAACAGAAATATCTCGGAAGCGGTGAGAGAGAAACACCAGCTTGATTAACCGATGGGGAAACAATGGGAATGACAGTGGATTCTCATCAGAAATCAGAGGCCAGAAGAAAGTAGCACAGATATTTGTCAAGTGCCAAAGAAAAGAATCTCCAACCCAGAATTTCATCTCCAGTGAAAGTATCCTTCAGGAGTAAGGGGGAAACGGAGACACTCTCAGATAAAGACAATCAGAGTCAGTGGCCAGCAGGCCTACCCAAAAGGATGGGTTAAAGGAAGTTCTCCAGACAAGAAGGATTGGATAAAAGATGGAAATTTCTGGACATCAGGAAGGACGAAAGAACAATGGGAAGAGTAAAAATAAGGGTGAGTACTGCAGATGTTCTCTTGATTGAGAACATTATGCTTGATCGTCGAAGCAAAAATTGTAATGATGTGTGATGTAGTTCTCAATGTGTATATGGAAGGAAAATATTTGTGATGATTACATTATAAAGGAGAGAGGGTAACAACAATTAAAGGGAGGTGAGGTTTTTATTTGTGACTCAAACTCAAAATGGTGACACTAGCAGACTGTAGTGAGTTATGTGTGTAAACTAACACCCAGAGCAACCACTGAAACGCTGTCCAGAGGTCCGCTCAACAGCACTGCAGGTGCTTCAGAAGAGACTGTGAGAGTATGTCCAAGTAACACACACCACGGTCAGAAAGAGAAACAGAAGAAAAAAGAGAGGAAATAAAAGCAGAAAATCCCCAGCAGAGTGACGAGTCCAGTCTCCTATCTAGTAACTGCCCGCTTTTACATGTTTTTGGTGCCTTCAAATAGCTGCTTTTTGCATCTCGCCCAGAATTTTTTTTTAATTTTTATTTAATTAATTAATTAATTAATCAATTATTTTATTTTATTTTTGTTACAGATGTTTCTCCTTTTTTACCCTGTTGACACCCTCCTTCCCATCCTCCCCACCCCGGCTTTGTTGTCCGTGTCCACTGGTTATGCGTACATGCATATAAGTTCTGTGGTTTATCTCTCCCCTCCCTCCACCACCCCTCTTCTGAAGATTATCTGTCTGTACCCTACTTCTATGTCTATGGGTCTACCCTATTCCTCAGACTGTTATGTTCATTATATTCCACAAATAAGTGAAATCATGTGGTATTTGTCTTTTTCTGCTTGGCTTATTTCGCTTAGGATAATACTTTCCAGGTCCCTCCATGTCATTCAAAGGAGAGAGATCTTTCTTTCTTAAAGCTGCATAGTGCTCCATTGTGTATATGTACCACAGCTTTTCATCCATTCGTCTACTGATGGACACTTGGACTGATTCCAGATCTTAGCGATTGTAAATAGTGCTGCTATGAACATGGGGGTACATATATTCCTTCTGATTGGTGTTTCAGGCTTCTTAGGGTATGTTCCTAGAAGTGGAATCACTGGGTCAAATGGCAATTCAATTTCTAATCTTTTGAGGTAACACCATATTGTTTTCCATAGTGGCTGCACCAGTCTGCATTTCCACCAGCAGTGTACAAGAGTCTCCTTTTCTCCACACCCTCGCCAACACTTGTTGTTTGATGATTTGTTGATGGTGACCATTCTGACAGGTGTGAGGTGATATCTCATTGTTGTTTTAATTTGCATCTCTCTGATGA